CCGGGCCATGAACTGTAAACTAAAATAATTTGTATGTTCAATCATTGTTCCTTCTTCTTTCAGTAATGAAAGCTTTTGTTAAACGACCTACCCACCCCATGTCTTTGTATATAATAAGTCATTTTTGTCCAATGTATATTTTCGGGCTGCAGAACTTTTTCAATATCGATATATATATATATATATATATATATATATATATATATATATATATATATATATATATATCTGTTATAACTGTCACGAGTAATATAGTTTAGGTAAATAATAATAAGCTAGCGAAGTGTTGTGATATATAAGTAAATGGTGAGATAATATACGTCGTTGTAAGGCAAGGCTCTGTACCCACATCTTCAAAGCACCATAATAACCCAGCCAGCCTTGCTCAATCATTTCTCTGACACACACACACACACACACACACACACACACACACACACACACACACACACACACACACACACACACCATGTTCTGTTACGTTTCCTCTATGTTGTGTTGTGTCTACAAGTAAGGTACATGTCTGAGACCAATGTGAGGACGAAAGACGCGTTCATGGTAGTTACACTGAAGAATGGTGCAATGGAGAATAATAGAGTAACGGTGCAATGGAGAATGGTACAAGTATTGATAAGAGCCTAAGCGTGACCCCTCGGCAGATCAATTTCAGCTGTCAAGGAACTCCCTCCCCTCTGACGTCATCATATGTGTCACGTATTTCAAGGACTAACAGACGCAACTGAAAAGACGGACACGGACGCCGTAATGTATTGGAGCATATGACACGGACGCTTACTTAACTGGAGAATATGACACGGACGCTTTAGTATATTGGATCATATGACACAGACGCTTTAATGTACTGGAGCATATGACACGGACGCCTTAATGTACTGGAGCATATGTCACGGACGCTTACTTAACTGGAGCATATAACAAGGACGTTTTAGTGTATTGGATCATATGACACGGACGCCTTAATGAACTGGAGCATATGACACGGACGCCTTAATGTACAAGAGCATATGACACGGACGCCTTAATGTACTGGAGCATATATATCACGGACGCCTTATTACTTGGTAGCATAGGACTCTACAATACATGGGTGACTGTTTGATAGCTGCCTACCTACTACCTAACCTAACGTAACCTAATCACATGTGCCCGTCACCAAACAACACCACAACACGTACCAAACACCACAACACGTATCAAACACCACAACACGTACCAATCAATACCACAACACGTGCCCATCAATACCACAACACGTACCTAACACCATAACACGTACCAAACAACACGTACCTAACACCATAACACGTACCAAACACAATACGTACCTAACACCATAACACGTACCAAACAACACAACATGTACCAAACAACACCACAACACGTATCAAACACCACAACACGTACCAATCAATACCACAATACGTACCCATCAATACCACAACACGTACCTAACACCATAACACGTACCAAACACAACACGTACCTAATACCATAACACGTACCAAACAACACCACAACACGTATCAAACACCACAACACGTATCAAACACCACAACACGTACCCATCAACACCACAACACGTACCCATCAATACCACAACACGTACCCATCAATACCACAACACGTACCCATCAATACCACAACACGTACCCATCAATACCACAACACGTACCCATCAATACCACAACACGTACCCATCAATACCACAACACGCACCTAACACCATAACATGTACAGTCGGCCACAAGAATAAGTATGCACCTCCGGTTCGTGTTTGAGACAAAATATCTGGTAACACTGTCCTGAACAGAACAGACAAAATTACAAAATGACCTGTAATTTATGTTTAATTCCTACATATGTGTTATAAATACATTTGTTGTGAATGTTTTACTAGTGTCTCGTGTTTATATTACGAGTAATATATTGTATCCAATGGTAGTAAACTTGTTGCCGAATGGGATTGCAGTTATCGTACAGCTCTCTCTCCTCCTCCCCCCACTTTTTCTCTTACCCTACTTTTTTTATTGATGTTTGGATTAGTAAAGGAAGGAAGAGAAGTAAATAGAAGAATAAGGAAAGGGAAACAGAAAATAGTTCGAGATAATAGGCGGGGGGAGCTGAGTTTCATCATGCGTCTGGATGCGCAGTTTCAACGTTACCAGACCATTTTCGGACCTTACAGCTACAGTGTGTATACTCCTGTGGCCGACTGTACCAAACACTACCACAACACGTACCCATCAACACCACAACACGTACCCAACACCACAACACGTACCCAACACCACAACACGTACCGAACACCACAACACGTACCGAACACCACAACACGTACCAAACACCACAACACGTACCCAACACCACAACACGTACCCAACACCACAACACGTACCCAACACCACAAAAATCATACACAGGCACAAAGATCCACCTTCTGTTATAATGTCATCAGGCCAGACACCACAGTAACCTTGGTCTGTCTGCTGCAGTTCTGGGTCACCGCCGGGAGTATAAATGTGTCCAGTATTAAAGAAAGTCATCGAAAGAGAATTGTTAGATAGGGATATGATTTAAAATATGGGGGTGTATGTATGTATGTATGTATGTATGTATGTCGGATAACGTGAACTCAAAACCAAACAGTGGTTCCTTTCTCTGTCGCTTACTGAGTCCTCCTGTTGTTTATATATACGTCATGATACATATATACACATTATATATATATATGTATACTATATACATTTATAATTATATAGTGAAGTTACCTATACATTTATACTACGTACCTTATAGTAGGGTTATATATCACTGAATGGTGTCCACGCTGCACTGACTTCAAAATATGTACTAATTTCCCGCTCACTCATTAAAAGGTAATATTAATTTATCCTTTACCTCCTGTACTACACTCACCCGCGAGCGTCACTACACACCTAGAGAGGCACTAGCGACGAGCACTTAGTGGAGACCAATACTGTCTATTCAAAGGTAAAAGCGACACTGTCTCCTCTCACGGTCTCCACGCGTCGACATTCACTACCCACCCACTGTTACCACCTCCTCCTCGCCACTACACCTCTTCCCTCCCTACACTCCCCGGTCACTATCCACCCCATTCTAGTCACCTACTACCTAGATAGCCTTAACTTAGTCAATAGAAAGATATTGTAAATATAAATAGGATAGTTTTTGGTTATTGGTTGTGGTAGATGGGTTGTAGGGTAGGGCAGGTCGCTGGTGTTGGTAATACAGTAGTGTGCCAACTACCTCGAGTTCTCGTGTCCCTGTACTAACACACACACACGACTACTGCCAGCTGAAGTCCTCTCCACCCTGAGTACTGTCCACCACACACACACACACACACACACACACAAACACACACACACACTCCACGCACTTTCAACATCCCCAATGAGTGTCCATTAAGTGTTTTGATAGTATCCTGTGAGTGTGGCGCCGAGGATGTAAGTAGTTGGTGTGTGTGTGTGTGTGATCTCTAATCAATCTGGGAATTAGTATACAGTACACACACACACACGGGGGACAGAGAGAGACCGCATCAATACTCCTTACCTTAGTGACGGTATGCAAATGCAGTTCTTTTTAACCCGACAGAGTTGCAGGAGGCGGTATATATATATATAGGTCATGTAGCAATATAAAGATGTTACAAGTGACGACGTTTAAATAACCATAGCAACGAGAATGTAACAGTAGTACGAAAGTAACAATATAAACAAACAGAAAGTAGCAATATAAACAAAGTAACATAAACAAACAGAAAGTAACATTATAAACAAAGTAACATTATAAACAAAAAAGTAACATTAAACAAACAGGAAGTAACATAAACAAAGTAACAATATAAACAAAGTAACATTATAAACAACAAAGTAACAATATAAACAAATAGAGTAACAATATAAACAAATAGAAAGTAACAATATAAACAAGTGCCTCATCCAAGACTCATAAGCTAAACGAGTCTAATAAACAAATTCTAGTGTTTGCAGCTGAGGGCGGATGTGGAGGTGGTGGTGTGGGTGTTGGTGGTGTGGGTGTTGGTGGAAGAGGGAGGAGATAAGGAGTGGGTGGAAGAGGAGGGCGGGAGATTAGGAGTGGGTTGGGGGTAGGCGGGAGGTGCTGCTGGGGCGGGAGGGTTAAAGCAGCCGCCACAATATAATGGCGTTGGCTTGATGTTAGTTCGTGTAGTGTTATGGTGGAGGGTGTGAGAGATTCTTGGTTGGATCTCATTGCTCATCAGAGAGAGAGAGAGTACAAGATGAACTAGAGAGTCGGGCGATTGAATTTTCCTTGTAAGAGAAAATGTATAAATCCACGTGTCTGGTCAATGTACAGTAAACCCCCCAAAAAAAGGTCCAAAAGTAAGGCTGGGACTCGAACAATAGTAGATACATTAACAATTACACAAAAGAAGCCATGCACAATGAGTTAGGAAGCCACAGTGAGTTAGTGAGCCAAGGTTAACAGGTTGTATTTTGTGATGTATCGGTGGGGTCAGTTTGGGCATGTAGCGATGGGTCAGGGAGAGGGAGTGTCGGGGGAATGAGGGGAGAAATGGGAGAGGTGTGGGAGGGTGAGTAAGATAGGGGTGAGGAAGATGGAAGGACGGGGGAGGGGTGGCGGGAGAGGGGTTGTGTAACAGGTTACCCCAACACATGTTCATGTGTCAAGTCTCACAAGTGTGGGTGACGTTACACATGTTACGCTCACCTGTCGTTCCAATCATTCACCTCTCTCTCTCAAACTAGCGAGACACGTCAGCAGAGACATTTTGAGATGTCGTAGCCTCCACATTTCGAATTCTTAACTTTGGTCAAGTCAATTGTCCCCCCCACCCCCCGTAAATAGAATATCAAAGAGCACAGCTATTTACGGCACGACAGTTAAATTAACCACTGGATGGGAGGAGGAACACGAACACTTGACGAGGTAAAGACAGCAACACTCACCTTTTCAGTATCCAGTTCGTTCTCTGTAGGGGGGACGAAGAGCAGTGAAAGACGCCTCTGCCACACTGGCTCCTTGTCATCCTCTTCGTCTGTAACACCAAACAAAACAAGACACTGTTACACCATCATCAGTAACACCAGACAAAACAAGTTTTCACTGTTTCTTCAAAGTCTGATCAAAACGGCTACTCTCTCTCTCTCTCTCTCGACGTGACCTACCTTGTCTCGGGGTGTTGGGTGCAGAGGTCATCTTGCGCCTTTGGTCGAAGGGGTCGCCCTCACACGGCACAGCCTTCTGGGACTGAGGTTGAGGTCTCATAACCACGTCCTCCGTCACCGGGGTGCTTATAGTGAAGATGTGTCCTCTCCTCCCTATGATGGGCGTGCCGAGGGGTGAGACCTGGTCTGTCTTGCTCGAGGTCTTCAGCGAGGGCAGCATACTCATCGCACTCGTCTTCAACTCTGCTATTCGATTCTTTCTCTTTGCCGCCGTCGAGGGACTCCCGGATTTGGTAGAAGCGTTGTCTGCAGTACTGGTACATACAGGGAGGCTGCCAGACCTGCCTCGTTTCCCAACATCACCAATACGAGCTGCCATCTTCGCCGCCACAGGGTATTTGGTGCCTGAGGGTGGGTGGGAGGAGGGAGGGGTGCTCAAGCTGGTGTTGCTGGGGGCTGCAGCAGGGGTGCTCTGAGGGTGGGTGGGAGGAGGAGGTGCATGAGGGGTGCCTGAGGGTGGGTGGGGAGGGGGGTGGCTGGGGGCTGCAGCAGGGGTGCCTGAGGGTGGGTGGGAGGAGGGAGGGGGTCTCACGCTGGTGTTGCTGGGGCTGCAGCAGGGGTGCCTGAGGGTGGGTGGGAGGAGGAGGGGTCTCACGCTGGTGTTGCTTGGGGCTGCAGCAGGGGTGCCTGAGGGTGGGTGGGAGGAGGGAGGGGGTCTCAAGCTGGTGTTGCTGGGGGCTGCAGCAGGGGTGCCTGAGGGTGGGAGGGAGGAGGGAGGGGGTCTCACGCTGGTGTTACTGGGGGCTGCGGCAGGGGGAGGTCTTCCTTGTGGCCGGTTGATCATTGGGTACGACAGTTGACAGCTGCTCATGTTGACTGGCGAGGTCATGCGGCCATGGATGGGGGTAATCCCGGTGAGGATCTCTACCGAGGAGGACCTCTTGAGGACCCCCGAGGAGGACGTCTTGAGCACCCCGCCGCCCGTGTGTTGCTTCTCCGCCATCCTACAGGAAGAGACCGAGTCGTTAACTTCCATATTACATATCTGTATTTTGAGTATCGTGGGTCATTGTGAAGACACTTGTGCAAGTAAAAGCAATCAAATCATCCCAACACTAACCTAACTTAACACTAACATTAACCTACCCCAATTATCCTAAAATATAATAAGATGATGAAGGGTCGGACATATGGCGTTCCCCCTTCACTTTCACCTCTCGTGGGAAGGTCAGTTGGCGGGAAGTGACTCACACCAAGTTTAAGAGAATTTAGCTAAGGTTACCACCACTCGGGTTACAACTACGTGTGATAGATGGATACATAGATCTATCTATCTATCAAATTACAACGTATAAGACCAGTTCGCACTGCTGCCCACACTCGTAACAGAGCTCACCGGACACCATATCGTGTTTACATCCGCTAGCTGCTGTCGTCGGCATTTCACCGCAAGTTATCGTTTCAGCTGAGAATTTGTCCACACTACAGCATATAACCCCCACGTGGTGTTAGGTATATTATGGGAAACTGTGAACGGTAGTGAATAAGAAGACATAGAAAGATTGTTGAAATAATAAATGTACTGTGACGCAAACCATTAATATTTACGACAGATAAGACGATAGTGTCAGTTTCGTGCTTACTCTAAGTTTCACCTTAACTATGGCTTGTCTGCCTGCCAGTTATTATTATTGTTGTTATTATTATTATAGTAGTAGTAATAGTAGATGTAGTAGTAGTAGTAGTAGTAGCAATAGTAGTAGTATTTACTTTATCGTTTAGTGGGTTTAGGAAGCAAAATGTCACCCAAATCAAGAGCAAAGTCTAATGGGGTCGTTTACATGGTGACGTCATACAGTATTTAGAGCTGCTAAAGGTTCTTGGTCATCCGGGTCGTCCATAGTTCACCCAGCTGTGAATAGATTCCTGACTAGTTGTTCCTGCGGGGGACTATGGGTGATCAGCCGCTGACAAGAGGTTGACGTCACAGGATATCCTTAAACTAGACGCAGGATAGGAAACAGGCTAGGGGGTGGTGCCTGGCGTGACCATCTGGGAGGGAGTTACTACACTATGTGTTTACTGTTCAACACGTACAATCCTACATTAATCTGTATGTTCACTGTATGTTCCTTTACCTTTCTCTAATGAAGGCTTTTGTTAAACCACCAATGTATGTAATAAGTCATTTATGTCCAATGTATATTTTCAGCCTTCGGGCTGCAGAACTTTTTCAATAAGCCGTTAATTATTATTATTATTATCATCACACACACTGGTTCGATTCCGTCAGGGTTAATAAATTGTATACTGATATGTGTGGTTAGGTTAGGTTAGGTAGGGCACGTGGGACTTGGTTGAGTTTCTACAAGCGTGAGGGATTGGGATCCTGCCAACACTATCCTCCCACACACCATCCCCCACCCCCCTTATTCTTGATCTTCCCCGGATACACTCACCCGTCTCAACAATACTCCCCCATAAACGAAGGTAAAAAAAAAGAACATTAGAAAATAAGGAGTCTGCAATAGGCCGGTTGGCCTGTGCATGGCAGCTCCTGTCGAGAGTTACTACCACTCTGTATCATCCATGAATCTATCTAGCCTCCTTTTAAAACTTTCCAGCGTTCCAGCACTTACTACAAAGTTGCTAAGCTTGTTCTACTCGTCCACCACCCTATTTGTGAACCAGTTCCTTCCTATCTCCCTCCTAAACCTAAACTTATCCAACTTAAATCCGTTGCTCCGAGTCCTATCCTGCTCGGATATTATAAGAACTTTATCTATATCTCCTTTATTGATTCCTTTCACCCATTTAAATACTTCTATCATATCTCCCCGCACTCTTCTTTCTAGGGAATGCAAGTTTAATTTCTCTAACCTATCCTCATATGGAAGGTTTCTAAGTCCCGGAATCATTTTCGTCATTCTTCGCTGCACCGACTCCAGTGAATTGATATCCATTCTATAATAAGGGCACCAGAGCTGAACCGCATAATCGAGGTGCGGCCTGACTAGCGCAAGATATAGTTGCAATAAGATCTCTGCACTCTTGTTACTTACACTTCTACATATAAAACCAAATACTCTGTTTGCCTTATTTCGAACATTAACGCACTGTTTTCTAGGCCGTAGGTCCGGGCTTACAAGTACCCCTAAGTCTCTTTCACAAGTCGACTTCTCTAGGTTGATGTTGTTAAGGCTGTATACATTGACAGTATTTGTTCTTCCAATATTAAGTACGCTGCACTTGCTGGTGTTGAATTTCATTGCCATTTTTCTGACCACTCCTGCAGTTTGTTTAAATCCTCCTGTAGTGCATTTTCATCCTGCCCTGAATTAATCTGCCGCCCTATTTTGGTGTCGTCCGCAAACTTGCTTATGTCACTGCTGATCCCAGTATCTAGATCGTTTATGTAAATTATGAACAAGATGGTATTATGAATTCTTCTATCTTCAGGTATGAGGAATATTCACAGTGCGAGCTGTTTGTCAATCTGCCTCATTTACCATTTCATTTCCTGAAACATTCAAAATTACTTGACGTGAACAGAAATATTCTCATTAATTCTTACATGTAATACCCTCTGAATGTTTCTCAATTCCTCTACGTTGAGTTTAATACAATTATTCCCTTGTTATATTCCCTAGTTTGTTGATACATGATTACAAATATTTTGGTTCACTCTGTATACAATGTGTGAAATCTCTCCTCCTCCCCGATCTGCAGCTGCCTCTTCCCACACCCCTCCACCAATATGTAACCTTTCCCTCCACCATGACAATTGTATACAGTATTTTCTAGACAACACACGCGCGGTACACTCGTCTTACCACAACCTCTGGCGAATCACAAGACACTCGCCCTCATTATTCACACACACACGCGTCCAACACCGACTCCCAATTACACTGGCACCATGACAACATCTACCGTCTCCCTATGTAACTTCGCCATCTGTTTTTTACGAAAGATTTAAAAATATACATCGAGAGCTGAAAGTATATTGGTAAATAATATTCAAATCAATAACATAAATATCAAGTTATGTAACCCACATTAATGTTGTCTTCTATCAGGTTGTTCCTTATGTCCTCAGCAGCAGCTCTTGAAGATTGACTGACTACTGGTTACCGGACGAGCCTTTTAACCGGACAGATTTTATTACAGTTAACGTTCGGGGGGGGGGTTGTTTAATCCACCATAAACTGACCAACAGCCACAGTCGACTACTAATGATGTAAGAACCAGGCAGAGTTGAGTCAATATATGAAGAGTTGGACCCAGACTCGAGTGTTTTATCCGTGCTTAAAGTATGTTAATTTACATCATGAAAATAATCACACAAATGCTTTTAAAAGTTGTTATAGTTTTTACGTGATGAAATGTTGCCAAGTGATACGACGACAGAAAGTAATTAAAGAAACGAAATTCCTGAAAATCAACTTTGTTCATGCGTGAGTGAGAACAGGTGAGGTGATGACGACAATATGGAGTCAGGTGAAGTCAGGTGACACTGACCACCATGACAACAGCAGGTGATGGAGGAGTAATTTATTATAACGTCATTCAGGACCAAGGTGACTTGTTAATACCTTTCTTCTCCGCACTCATTCTGTATCTCCCTCCCCTACCTTCTCTCCCTCCCCTACCTTCTCTCCCTCCCCTACCTCTCCCTCCCCTACCTTCTCTCCCTCCCTACCTTCTCTCCCTCCCCCTACCCTCTCTCCCTCCCCCCTACCCACCCTACCCTCTCCCTACCCTCTCTCCATCCCCTACCCTACCCTCTCTCCCTCCCCTACCCTCTCTCCCTACCCTCTCCATCCCCTACCCTACCCCTCTCTCCCTCCCCTACCCTACCCTCTCTCCCTCCCCCCCCTACCTTCTCTCCCTCCCTCTCCCTCTCCCTCCCCTACCTTCTCTCTCCCTCCCTCTCTCTCTCTCCCTCCCCTACCCTACCCTCTCTCCCTCCCCTACCCTACCTTCTCTCCCTACCCTACCCTACCTCACTATCCGTACTCATTCAGTATAAAGTAAACCCCTCCACAATACCATGATAGATTAAGGTGAAAAGTGCTCCAGGGAAAGGAAAGAAAGTGTTGGGAATCTCTGCTGACATCACCAGTTGGAAAGACCAGTTTGTGACCGCCAGGCGCAGCACTCCGCCCCTCCGACCAGCACCTGGCGAAGGAGATGATGAAATAAAACCAAGAAATGAAGTATTTATAATATTCTGGCGTTATAACTTCCGGGTGTGTGTGTGTGTGTGTAGAATAATTTGGCTGTGTCCTCATCTTTAGTTTATGTAGTATTCAACACAGAGGAGTTAACAACGATGGGTGGTGGTGACCTTGCAAGGGGCGAGCAAGGTGGGAGAGTGTCGCAACCCCATCCCACAATAGCCTATACTGAAACCTGGATCACATAAGACTTTCAAACTTGTTCTCTCTTACCTGTGTGTTACGTACTCTATGTTAGTACTCTATGTTTCCTGTTACCTGTGTTCCCTGTTACCTGTGTTACCTGTGTTTCCTGTTACCTGTGTTCCCTGTTACCTGTGTTCCCTGTTACCTGTGTTCCCTGTTACCTGTGTTCCCTGTTACCTGTGTTTCCTGTTACCTGTTACCTGTGTTCCCTGTTACCTGTGTTCCCTGTTACCTGTGCTACCTGTTACCTGTGTTTCCTGTTGCCTGTGTTTCCTGTTGCCTGTGTTTCCTGTTACCTGTGTTTCCTGTTACCTGTGTTTCCTGTTACCTGTGTTACCTGTTACCTGTGTTTCCTGTTACCTGTGCTACCTATTACCTGTGTTCCCTGTTACCTGTGCTCCCTTTTATCTTGGTTGAGGTACCTTACTATTTACCAATGTACTGTACACCTACACGACTGAGGTACTATGTATGTACTAAGCTAACCATGGTCTTCGTGACGGGAAACATATTTATCAAACTTGAAAATAATACAAAAGAACTTAAAATGAGGAATGAACTAGGAATGCCCAGTGCCA